TGCTACACAAAACAATTACTTTCTAGGCTGTTCTCAATTTGAGCGACTCAGCAGAATCACTTTTTCAGATGCTTTAAAAATACCAGCCAAAAAAAAAAAAGAAAAAAAAAAAAAAAAAAAATGAGGTCCTGGGCAGCACCCCAGATAGTTCCCTGAAGCATAAGGCCTAGGTGCTTGCCCAAAGGTTGTAAAGTTCCTTTAGTAACTAAGATGTGTGGCAAGACAGACCCAGAACTGTTGAGTCAGGAGGTTACCGTATGTTTTAGAGAAACTCTACCTTGATCTGCTGCCGTCGCAGCATGGCAAGTTCCCTCATGTCTCGGAAGGGCTGCAGTAAGTACTGGTAGAGCTCAGTTGTGGCTTCTGCAAGGCTGCTATAAGCCTCGTCCTCCAGCTGATACAAGTCCAGAAGCTCTACCATGCTCTCAATGTTCTTGTGTTTATCCAAAAGCTGAAAACAGAAAAGGTACAATGATAAGAAATTGGATTTCATAAGTAATAAAATCCTGCTCTTGCTTTGAACTCCTCTGCTGTACTTAATACTTTAGGCCTTGGATGCTACCACACAGAATTCAGGGGGAAGGAAAGCAGTGACTGCTTCTCACCACTCATCTCCATGCTTTGAGTGGCTCACTATCAAAACACAGCTTGACTCATTTAAGTGTGAGTATGCTCCATTCTCCAAGACAAGTTTAACTCTAACATTTTTGAAAACATATAAAAGACAAAACTTAACTACTTCATTATTCATTCAAAGTAATGCATCAGTTCTTCCTAACAGTATTTAGTAATTCCTCAAATCATGTCACTCCTTTCTTCACCTCACTTTGGAACTTTCCCTCAATAACTTTATTGTACGTGTATCCCTTCCCACAAGATGAAGGTTGGAAAACTTTAAAAATTAAAAGTGAATAGCTGGGCATGATGTTACATGCCTATAATTCCAGCAGTCCAAGAGGCTGAGGTGTGTATGGGGGGGGGGCAGAGAAATAGACACATAGACAAGAGAGAAAACTAATTTAAAAAATAAAAGTACATTCTCAACCTGAAAAATATAATACTTGAAATCTTAAAACTTCACTGAGTGTGGTAGTAAAGACAGCACGTAAGGCTGGCAGTGTAGCTCAGCAGACTAAATACTTGCTTAGGTAAGCGCAGGGGCCAGGGTTCAATCCCTGGTGTGTATGCCACAGTGGCCCCGCCCCTGGGTGCGCTGAGCCAGAGATGGAGTCCGGACATGGTGGCACGTGCCTGTGATCCCAGCACTAGGAAGGCAGAAATCAGGAGGATCACTACGAGTCTGGGCTGTGTATTGAGACCCTACACAGAGAAAGAAAGAAAGAAAGAAAGAAAGAAAGAAAGAAAGAAAGAAAGAAAGAAAGAAAGAAAGAAAAGAAAGAACAGAAAGACAAGACAAGACAAGACAAGACAAGACAAGAGACAGACAGAGTGAGCCAGGGAGATGGCTCAGTGGAATAAGTGCTTGCCTGGCAAGCGCAAGAGCCTGAGTTCAATCCCCAGTTCCACAAAAAAAAAAAGAAAAGAAAAGAAAAAAAAGACAGTACCTCAAAAAGCCTCAAAGTGAATTACGCAACCTGAAGAAGAAACAAGGACTCAGGACATACACATAATATTTTTAAAACATTAAGACTCCCAGCAGAAAAGAAAATTAGAGCAAACAAATTTCAAGAAAAATCCCAAATGTGGTACAACACATGAATTTACATATTCAAGAAACTTTTTTTTTTTTTTAAATGTATTTGTTACAGGATCTCACTAAGCAGATCAAACTCGTAGTGATGCTCCTCCCCAGCACTGGGATTACAGGTGTGTGCCACCACGCCCAGTCTTGGTTGCCAGCTCAGCATGCCAAGGGCGGGGACAGTGCATGTCATACCAGGGACTGAAAGACAAATTCCTGAGAACTCCAAACAGATACATGCAAAGTAAGCAAAACCAAGTCAAACCATGTCAGAAATAAAGCAAAAGGTATCAGAAAAGAACCAGAAAGGGAAAAGAACCAGAGAAAGAAACGAGTGGGAGAAGTAGCTGGGTGTAGTGACCACATCTGTAACCCCAATGTTTGGGAGGCTGAGGCAGGAGGATTAAAAGGATAGGTCAGGGGGGCTAGGGAGATGGCTCAGTGGAATAAGCGCTTCCCTGGCAAGCACAAGGGCCTGAGTTCAATTCCCAGTTCTGAAAAAAAAAAAAAAAGAGGCTAGGTCAAAATATAAAGCAAGTCTGAGTCTGGCCTGTACTACACTCTGAGACCTGGCCTTAAAAACACAAACCATGAAGAATTATGCAGAGAAATGCAGACTTCAAACCACAAACACAGTGGATAAGGAAAGTAAAAAAAAAAAGGCCTGTCAACTCAAAATCTCATTAACAAAAAAATATCCTTCAAGAATGAAAACAAGCTGGGCATAGAGAGACCCTGCTCAAAAAAGAGCAATCAATACTAGCAAATAGAATGCTGCAAATCATAAGCTACACATCACAACCATGTAGAATTCATTTCAGAGATGCAAATGGTTCAACATACACAAATCTATAAATGTGATATATTGTATCAATAGAGCAGAAACGGGCTGGCAAATAGCTCCTCAGGCTAAAGCACCTACTTAGGCAGGCACAGGGACCATGGTTTGATTCCTGGTACCATATACCTCACCAGCCATGCCCCCAGGGCAAGCTAAATCAGCCAGAGTCTGGGCTTAGTGGTTTACGGCTATAATCCCAGCACTGAGGAGTCTAAAAACAGGAAGATCACTGAGTCTAAACTGCATAGTGAGACCCTATAATGACCAAATACATTAAAAAAAAAAAAAAAAAAAAAAAAAAACCTACATGATCATCTCAACAGACGTGGAAAAGGCTTCTGACAAAGTCCAACACTCATTCATGTTCAAAGTCCTACAGAAAATTGGAATAGATGGCCTATACCTCAATCTGATAAAAGCCATCTATGACCAACTAACAGCCAACATCATTCTAAATGGATTAAAACTAAAAGCTTTTACTCTAAAATCAGGTACAAGACAAGGATGTACACTATCACCACTCCTAGTCAATATAATTCTGTAAACATTAGCCAGACCTATTAAACAAGAGAGAGAAATAAAAAGAATTAAGATAGGTAAGGAGGGCCTGGGGGATAGCTCAGTAGAATAAGCATTTGCCTGGCAAGCATAGGGTCCTGAATTCAATCCCCCCTACTGAGAAAAAAAAAAAAGTTTACTTGGGCCAGGGAGATGGCTCAGTTGAATAAGTGCTTCCCTGGCAAGTACAAGGGCCTGAGTTCTATGCCTGTTCCACAAAAAAAAAAAAAAAAAAAAAAAGGAATAGGTACTGAAGGTGGGCAAGATGGTGACCTAGCAGAAATTTGGTGCCTAGAAGCAGATTTTATTATTCATTTATTGTTTTTGGTATTTTGGTTGGTTGGTTTTTTTTTTGGGGGGGAGCCAGAATCAGGGATCGAACTCAGGCCCTGGTGCTTACCAGAGAAGTGCTTATTCCACTGAGCCATCTCCTTGGCCCTAGAAGCAGATTTTAAAGGTGGTTTCTCCTACCTCTTTTTTTATATCACCTGATAAGCTTCTTGATGTACCATGGCAGTGACAGTAACAGTAAAATGGACAATACCAAAGAGAGCTCTTTTGAAACATTTCCAATCCAAAATGGAACTTTATCTCATGTTTGCTGTAAATCTACACATTCGTTTCCATATGACTATAATGGCAAAGCAGAGTTTGCTTTGAAATTCAATGGCAGGACAATAGTATGCTACCACCCTTCTATGGACATTCCATACGAACACACAAGACCTGTGCCTCAGCCACATCCTCACCATAATATTGAAGAAACACATGATCAAGTGCTGAAAACCAGATGAGAAGAAAATGAAAATGAATGCCTTGAGCACAGACCCATGATAGAATAACTTAGCAAAATGTTTTTTATGACAAAGCATCATTCGTAACCTCACAGGCTGTATCACAGACATCATATGAAACTGAGTCCTCCAAAAGACAAATAATATTGAGGTTCGCAGGAAAATCAAAGAGAAAAGGTATCCTGTGCTTAGTTTGCCTCTGGAGGAAATACACTAATACTGTATGTTAATAGTCAAATCATAAAATGTCTTTTCACAAGAATAGGTAAGGAAGAAGTTAAACTATCATTATTTGCAGACAACAAGATAATCTACATGAAAAACCCAAAAAACTCTACCAAGAAGCTCCTAGAATTAATAAACAAATTCAGTAGCACAGCAGAACATAAAGTCAACCCCCAAAATCAATAGCATTCCTCTACATAAATAACAAACTTACTGAGAAAGAAATTAGAGAAACAATACCATTCACAACAGCATCCCCCAAAATGAAATACTTAGGAATTAATCTAATAAAGGAAAAGATTTACACAATGAAAATTATAATACTGCAAAAAAAGAGAGATCGAAGAGGACTTCAGAAAATGAAAGATATTTCTTACTCCAGGAGAGGAAGAACTAACATTGTAAAACTGGCCATACTCCCAAAATTGTTATACAGATTTAATGTAATCCCTATCAAAATACCACCAATGTATCTCACAGATCTAGAAAAACACATTCTTAACATTCATTTGGAACCAGAAAAGACCTAGAATAGCAAAGGCAATCCTGGGCAACAAAGGCATTTGTTGTCTGTATAGGAGGCACTGCAATTCCTGACTTGAAATTATACTATAAAGCTATGATAAAATCAGCATGATACTGGGAGGGGAGGAACACCCAAGAAGAAATAGAACAGAGAAATGCAGACACAACTACAAACACACTCAGCCACCTTATCTTGACAAAGAGGTCAAACACTTTCACTGTAAGAAAGATAGCCTCTAACAAATGATACTAGGGCCTGGGGATATGGCTCACTAGAATAAGTGCTTCCCTGGCAAGCACAAGGGTCTGAATTCAATCCCTAGCTCTGCAAAAAAAAAAAAAAAGATACTGGAAAAATTGGCTCTCCACATGCCAAAAACTAAAATTAGATCCTGGCCTGTCACCATGCACTAAAGTCAAAACAGATAAGAGATCTAAACATTAAAACAGAAATACTAAAACTACTGGAAGAAAAAGGAGATAAAGATCATGAAGACAGGGTAGGCACAGAGTTCATGAACAAAAGAAAAAATGAACTGCATGAGAAATATTTCAAAGAATCAACAACTGGGATCTCATTGAGAAGTTTCTGCATCTCAAAAGAAATCATCAACATAGTAAAAAGACAACCTACAAATTGGGGGAAAAAATCATAACCAACAATTACTCAGACAAATGACTATCTAGAATAAAGAAACAATGGGGGGGGACCAGGTCCCCAAACTTCAAAGACCCAATCCAAAAATGGGCATCTGAGATGACTACACACTTCTAAGAGGAAGAAATACTAATGGCAAATAAATACA